AATCAAAAAACCCCCAAACAAACAAAAAAAAAAATGAGAAAGTTGCTCATTTGATATGATGTTAATGTCTCCTGTAGTATAATATTCTTTCCTGTTTTACAGTTGAGAGCATGCTAACTGCTGGAAAAACCATCCTTGAAAAGAATAACTTCACAGACTTCACAGATGTGAGGTGTGTATGTCAGAAGAAATCAGCGATACACCACTGAGTTTTGTGATAGGGTAGCTAAACAGTCATAAGTCCTCTTTTCTTTGTTCTTTGGATATGTGCGTTTCTGTTGATTTATGTATACAATGAATTTTCTTAGACAAACTTTTATGTGATTTAAAAATACGTCATTACGGGCCAGGGATTTAGCTCAGTGGTTCCGGCACCTGCCTTGCAAGCACAGGGTCCCGAGTTCGATCCTGGGTACCAAAAAAACCCCAAAAAACAAAACAAAAATATGTCATTAGATTTCTAGCAGGAAAGTAACTTGAAATCATTGGTGAATTATTTGCCAAACTTTGAACAAAAGCACCTAATGTTCAATTAACAGTTTAAGCTGAACAGCGCTTTTGACTTTAAAAGATGATGAATTTACTTCTTGCAAGGTGGGCAGTACTAAGGCAGGGCCGAGGAGGTTCCCTCTCGCCATCCTGAGCCAGGACAGACGCCCTGAGTGCTGTCGCTGTCCGCGTCACAAGTGTGATCAGAGATGCATCCTTTGGCCGCTCATGGCTACTCCCGCTCTGCCACCTGCAAGCTCCAGTGAGCCAGTGCATATGAAAGCCCTCCTCAGCTGTGAGCCTCATCCGAGGGCGAGGGCAAGAGCGAGGGCAAGAGCGAGGGCAAGGGCGAGGGCAAGGGCGAGGGGCAGGTGCTGTCCCAGAGCTTTGGGCGGAAGCAGGGACGCCTTCCTGCATTCCTCTCCCAGATGCAGCAGCACTGATTAGCAGAAAGAGCACTGAATGAGGAGGAGGAGCCCTGAGTTGAGTTTCACTTTTCAGTTTGTGACCCTGGAAAGTCTCCTCATTTCTTAAAAAAAATAAAGTGTAGCTGTGTCCCTCAGGCTGGTCCTGAAATCCTACGCTCACATGATCCTCCTGCCTCAGCCTCCCAAGTAGCTGGGATTACAGGCATGTTCTGTTGTGCCCAGCTCTTAAAGTTTTATCTTTGAAATGGCTTCTAGAGCGATTCCACTTCCTGAGATGCATGTTTCACGGGGAAAACCAAGTCCCGTCTGCTAGGTAGTGAGAGAAGCTTTTCACTCCTTTGCTGCATGCAACAGGTCCGACTCCACCTCATGAGTTCCGGAGCTGGCGGCTGCGTGGCGGCCCTGCCTCTGCACCTCCCTCCCAGGCCCTGCTCTCCTGGCTTGAGGAGCTGAGTCCTTCTAGGCTGTCCTTCATTTGGCATAAATGGGCTTGCAAAAGTGCTTGTGAACTGAGTTTGAAGGAGCTAAATCATATTTCAGTAACTTTTTTCTAGCCAAGGATTTTTTTAGTGTTTTATAAAGTAAACAGTTATTAATAGTGTTACATAAGAAACTTCAGTGATGCTGGGCACGGTGGTGCACACCTGTATCCCAGCTCTTTTGGAGCCTGAGGCAGAATTGCGAGTTCATGGCCAACCCGGGCAGTTTACTAAGACCTTGTCTCGAAAGATCTGGGATGTAGCTGGTAGAGCGCCTGCCTAGAATTCACTACCACAACCAAAGGAAGTTTTTAAAATGCTGCCGTGATCAAGGTCCTTAGTGAAACGCTGGTTGGGACTGAAATGTGTGTGCGTTACTCAAGGAGAAGGCGCGCCACCTGCTGGCCGCGTCCCCGAATGACGGAGCAATGCTGTCCGGTGCTTTCAGGTTCATAAGGCCTGCAGGGATAAGAAGTGATGTCAGCTTAGAATTTGTAAAGGCTGTCGGAGGCATGCCGTGCTGCGAAGGCCGTCTTTGATAAAGAATTTTTATTACTATGACTTTCAGCGTGAAAAGGAGCAGTGCAAATGCTCTGAAATGTACACAGGAAAATCCTGAAAGGTTTATGAGTGAATGTGTCTGTCATGGGTAGCCAGCATGTGCGTGTTTCACCTGAAGAGCAGTGGTAACTGCCGTGAAGTGGATGCAGTCAGTGTACCTCTGTTGTAGGATGGGTTTCCACATGCCGCCCTTCTGCTCCATCTCCCACCTGCACCTCCATGTCCTGGCGCCGGTCAGCCAGCTTGGCTTCCTCTCCAGGCTGGTTTACAGAGTCAACTCCTACTGGTTCATCGCAGTAAGTGTTACCCTTCACCAGCAGCACACGAGCCTATTTCATTATTTGTCCTTTTTGTTGTAGCTTTGTGCTTTCTCGGCAACACGAGGCATTTAGAGCTTTTCTGGGTTTGACCTCATGTTTTAACCAAAAGAAAATTCTGAATGTAGGGCTGTTCCAGGCCACCAGATCTATAGGAAGAGAATCTATGCCCAAGAGTCCTCATTAGAAGTAACTCATGGAGTAGAAAAGCATGGGATCAGGAATTCAGACTTCAGAGTCAAATCTGGCTACAAATTCTGGCCCACTGCTCACTTAAGGGACCATTTACAAACTGCATCCACGTTTTAAGGCGCAGGTTTTTCTTCAAGGGGTGCTGGAGGTGGACCCCAGGTCTGGTGCATGCTAGGCAAGCACCCCACTGAGCTACAGCCCTGTCAGGCTCAGATCCCTTACTCTGCTCATGGGTCACAGTGCCTCCTTTGAGCACGGAAAGGAGATGTTGAGATAGTTCATGTGCTGAGCCTTTCTAGCCTGGGGATGTTGCTCAGCACTAGACCACTTACCTAGCAGGTGCGAGCCTCTTAGACCCATTGCCATTAGCTAGGTCCCCAGCCCTGCAAAAGAAATAGATAGTACAGTGAACAGTGCTTGGTAAAAGTCACCCGCTGCTTCTGTCATTATCGTCGGTATCATAATAGAAATCGAGCTTTTCTAATTTTTGGTGTCAGTTTGACCTCCTTAGAAAGGGGCTTTGATATCGGCATCAGCTAGCTACCTGACCTGAGGTGGAAGCTTTCGGCCTGAAATGTTACAGAACGGTGCTTTGTTGAGGCCAAAGTGGAATAAAATGCCGTTTTTGTAGGCTGTGGTGTGTTAGTTGTGGGTATTAATGGACTCTGTAGGGCCACTTGACAGTAATTTACCAGGCTTTTCCTTTATGTGTCCATGGTACTCAGGGAACCAACAGTTGCTGTATCTGAAAAACCATCAAACTTTATTTCCCATTGGTTAGTAGTGAGTACTGTTATTCTAGTCAAAGTACGGAAGAATTAAAAAGCGTCAGGTTGGGCTAGGGTTATGGCCCAGTGGTAGAGCTTGCCTAGCACGCATGGGATCAATCCCCTTGGGGTGAAAAACCCAAATTAACACTTCCAGAAGCTTCCTATTTCAGACATATGCCTCTCTTCAACTTGTTGTCCAGATGATTTCTTTTTTTTTTTGGTACTGGGAATGGAACTCGGGACCTTGCACTTGCGAGGCAGGTGGCGGAACCACTGAGCTGAATCTCCAGCCCAGATGACTTCATTTAATTATCCAAAATATTTAAGATCTATGTCTGGGTCTGTATCTGAAATAAATAAGTCGGACATCCTGAAAGATAGCAGAATTTAAAAAGTAGGATTAGAAAAGGATTTTTTTTTTTCCTTTTTGCATTTCCAGTTTTCTTTAGGATCTTGGTTTCCTAGAAAAATTTAGTTAAAGCATGTTTTGGGGGGCTGTGTGTACAGCCCAGGGGTGGAATGTATTACCTTACAAACTTCAGTGGAAAAATTACACGATCTGTTTGTGATTCACCTTGGGAATCTGAACCGTTCCTAAAATTGGAACGCTGACAGTAGTACAGATTATTTGATTTTGAACAAAAAACCAAGATAAAGTTACTGAAGTTTATTTGAAAATCTCTTATCTGGCGTTCCACATTATAAGGGGTGCTTGAGAAAGGCTCTGTGGCTTTTTAAAAATCAGTTTTTATTTTCTGGAGCAGGTTTAAGCTCTCAGCAGAATGGGGTGCACGTGCGGGGCTCCCGAGCATGCCCCGCTGCACATGCGCACTGCCCGCATTTGGGGCGGCTGTAGGGCTCGCTTGGCTGTCAGGACCCGCGCCCGTGGTGGCAGTCCCAGCACTCCAGTGTGGTTTACGATCTCTGTCAGATCTGCCTTCAGCGCACACCCTTGGCACTGTGCCTTCCGGGCATGACTCGTGTCCACCACTGTATCCGACAGAATAATCTCATGCCCTGAGAGCCCGCTGCCTGCCGCCCACCCCAGCTGCCCCCTGCTCCTTGTTACCTTCGGATCTTCTTGGTATTTCCTCATGGGGCTCATGCAGCGTATAGCCTTTCACATTGGCTTCTTTCACTTACTAATAGCATTTAAGTTTACTCCACATGAATTTGCTTTTTTAAGAATTTATTTTTGGTCTTGTGTTTTGGAGACAGGGTCTCCTAGTGTAGCCCAAACTGGCCTCAAACTTGCATCGATGCTCCTGCCTCAGCCTCCTGAGTGCTGAGAGTACAGGAGTGCGCACCACACCCAGCTCATACTAATTTTCTTTTAAAACCTTAATATATTCATTTTTTTCTTGTAATTGAAAAATTTTAAATGAATTTGTAATGGGGGCTGGAGATGTAGCTCAGTGGCACCACACCTGCTGGGCAAGCACAAGGTTCTTAGTTTGATTCCCAATATAAAAAAAAGAAATACATAATGTAGCTTACAGTCTGCCTCTTTATAGATAATGTGGACTACCTTTACTAGTTTCATAAAGTTATTAGATTTTTTGTAAGATGTTTTATGTTTTTTTTTGGAGAGTAAGATATTTTTAGAAATGGAATATATAGTACCCTACTTTACTGGTGTGGCTTTAATATAAGAGGAATGCCAACAGAATTGTTTGATAGAGGCTCTGATATCTAGAATAAAAACGTGTTTTTTCTTTTTATTACAGGCTGATTATTTGATTGACAAACTAAGAACATGAAAATGTCAGCACTGGAAGGTTTTCCTGATCTTGGCTCAGTATAAACTAATGTTCTGGACCCTTTAAAGTCTAATTGTGATTATAAGGTTTGGGGGCTTTAGTAGGAGGCTGCGGCTGAGTGGCCTTCGCTTTTCTCTGAATGTCATTTCCTGGGATCTGTGACACAGTTACATAAATAAGTACCTGCCTCCAACTGCTTTGATTTAATGGTTCTCTTAGGATTTGAAGTGTAAGAAACTGTAGGTAAAATTCCATTTAAAACAAATTTGGTTAATCAAGATGGACACTATATTTTTTAAAAGTTCAAATAATTTCATTTCTTAGTAGTTATTTATGAAGAGTAAACTGGTATAGAAAGTAGATTATTGGAACCTTTACTCCTGTGAAGGAGAAAAGGAAATGAATTATTTCTTGATAGTTCATAGTTTTACACATAAATTTTCAAGATAATCCCATACTATACAGTCATCTCTGATCTTGCTGATGGGAAGAAATTATATATGTGTCCTTTTTTATTCAAATTTTGATATTGGTTTCCACCTCTGAATGCCTAGGATCTTTTTTTTTTGGTACTAGGGATCGAACTCAGGACCTTGCGCTTTCGAGGCAGGTGGCAGCACCACTGAGCTCCATCCCCGGCCCAGCCTAGCATCATTTTAGTAAATGGGTCCTGAAAGTTACATGATGTGTAGTACTCCCTGTTGGCCATGAAGGATATGGTCCAAGACCCTCAGTAGTTACCTGAAACCCAGGACCCTGTATACATTGTATGTATATTATGTTTTTACCTGTGATGGAGTGTCATTTATAAATTAGACACAGTAAGAGATTAGCAACAATGACTAATAGTCACACAGAGCAGTTGTAACAGTATGCCGAAAAGCTCTTGCCAGCCTTCCTGTTGTACTTCGGGGCCGTTATTACATACAATAAAGGTTAGTTGAATACAAGTGCATGCTACTGTCACAGCGAGTCTGATAACTGAGGCGGTTACTCCGGGGAGGTGGGTACACGGTGTGTGGGACTCATGTTCCAGGGGGTGGGAGATTTCACAGTGCTCCTCAGAATAATGTGCGGTTTAAGGTGCATGGATTATTTATTGCTGGAAGTTTTGTCATTTTCAGTAACTCACGGGTAACTGAAACCATAGAAAGTAGCTGCCAGAGAGAGTGAAACTTTGGATAATGGAGGACTACTGAAAGGTAATTGCTAACAGGAATTTACGGTATCGAGCAATTTGGCTGTGTAACAGTTCACTGGAATGGAATTTTATCTTTTTAGAAGAGGAAGAAACAGAGTGGTTCAGTTAATGTATTAAAACTGGCAGAAACGTTGCTTTGTGGCATGTTTTTTGTAACAAAGGGAAGTTAGAATAAAAAGTACTTAGGCCTAGATTGTGTCATGCAAAAGACGTAATTAGAAAGTAGAAATAGGCTCAGTGAAGAAATGTATTTCCATGACATGATGCTGATACACTGGCACAGCGTTTCATGAAGATGTTTCATTGCGAACTGCCTTCGGTGCTGGTCTGCAGTCAGGGTGGTGACCGAGGCAGCTTAGGGCTGACAGCTGGTCCTGCAAAGTGCCCACGTGTTGCGCCTCGCACACGAATAGGAGCATGAGCATGAATGTGTTGTTGGAAATAGGCTGAGATTGCCAGCTTTCATTCCTCATTTTGTGGTATTAAATATAAATACTTATACTTACATCATCTGGAATTTAGCTGGTTCATTTATTCAGCCAACACTTACTGAACCCTTGACATGTACTGCACAGTGCCAGCATCAGGAAAGGGATGTGAGCCGGGACGGTTGGTCTTTAACTCCTGACTCAGGGCATGGGCAGAACTGGCGATAGTTCCTGTTGAAGTGCAGCGATCTGCTCAGAGGAGAGGCTGTGCGGGGGCTGCTCTGAGTGGCTGCTCCAGAGCCCAGTGTTCAGGACGCAGTGTCAGGGCCACAGGGAGGCAGAGCAGAGCGGGAAGCCCATTGGTTCCTGGAGTTCTGATTCCTGTGGTACTGACTTCACAGCTGTCCTGAATATCCAGGCTGCAGCTGATTCCCCAGGCTGGAGAGGGATTTATAAGGGAGGTCATGGGCTCTCTGAATGAGATTTACAGGGTTCTAGCCCTGCTTTGCGAAGTGGCTCACTGAGCATGTATGCAGAGTAACAGTTGCAGGTGTCTATAAATCAGTTAAATGTGACCAGCTTCAGAGAAGAGATTTTCAGCGTGTACACTCTTTGAATGTTTTACTGTGTAAACTTGGAATGATATCATTGACGATGTTATGATAATAGCATGCAAGTGTTTAAGGAATTGTGAAATGCCTTAAAAACCTCTATAAATGTGATTAGCCAATTCAATATAAGTTCAATAGATTTTTCTTATTTGTTGGAAAACCCTTGGAAACACATTTTTAGTAGAAGTTCTCTTTACTTGCAAAGATTAGTAATCAAATTAGTATAATTAAAATTCACTTAGCCTGTTAGGAGTCTGTTTGGTAACTCCTATCCATAGTATTCATTCAAAGCAAAAGTAATTCATAACCTGTCTTAAAAATGTTTAAAGTAGTATTGAGATCATTATTTATGTATACCATGATACTACTTATGTAATTGTGGAATTGTAAAAGTATTGAAATGAATTATACCAAACTGTGTTTACTTAGCTAGAAAAAATCCAAGTAAAATGGAAAGATACTGTCAAAAGATTTTGCCTCTCTGGATTCTTTCAATAGCATTAAAAATACAGGTTGAAATGAAAGATGTTTGATAAATGGTAGACATGGACTGTCAGATGTAGACGCCTTCTTTCACACAAAGAATCCACGGTCAAGAGCACAGGCTTTTTCATACAGAGAACCCAAGACAAGAGCAGTCTTTGCTATAGTAACACTCGTATTTCTAGATTTTGATGTCAAAACGCTAAAGAAGTTGATACAACTTTCATTGATGTTTCAATGTGTATTGGGCACAAGTCACTAAAATGAAGCTGATACCTGTTGATCCATCTGTTTATTGTAGCAAAGTACAAATCTCTAATTCAACTTAAGTTAATGAAAATATTTAAGTGCGCTAGGGAGAATCAAATACTCATTCTGTGATTACTTATTTACAATATTACAGGTGGAGATGGACCCACAACTAAGAATCATGTGTTAATTAAACCAACCCTAAGTCAAATAGTATTTTTGTTAGTTTTTAAAATTTTACTTTATTTTTGCTGTGATCAAATATTGAGAAGAGCAAAGAAGGAAAGATTTATTCTGACTCACAGTGTCAGAGGGTTTGGTCCATGGTCAACCAACTCTGTTACCTTTAGGACTGTGGGAAGGCAGGAACATCATGGTGGAAGGGGGCAGAGGAAGGCTGTTCATCTCATTGCAGCCAGGAAGCAGAAGGGGAAAGACCCAGAGAGGAAGGGCTAGAGGGTATGATAGACCCTTTGGAGGCACCCATGCAGCTAATAAACTCATCAGTCACTTAATGCGTTAGTAGGCCAGCGCCCTGTGATCCGTCACCTATCTAGCACCTGGCTCTGAACATTGCTGCCTTGGGGCTTATACTCCCAACACATGAGTCTTAGAGGGCACGCTTCATATATAGTCATAACACCATTCAAACAAGTACAGCATTAAAATCCCCACCCCTTCCTATCCTGCCCCCTTCTGGTACAGTACTGGGGTTTGAACCTAGAGCCTATTCTTAACCCTAGGGCCTCATGCATGCTGAGCAAGCACTGCACCACTGAGCCACATCCCAGCTCTCCTTTCTGTCTTTTTCCTATCTTTGTTAATAGCATCCCCAATCTTTCACTTACTCAGGCCAGAAATCTTGGAGTCATCTTTGAGTCTTGTTCGTCAGACTTCACATGTAGCCTCTTAGCAAACTGGCTGGCAGTAGCTTCCAGATAGCTCCAGAATCTGACCACTTCCCATCACTTGTATTTTTATTATCTTGGCCAAGTTCCCATGATTTCTTGTCTAGATTATGGCAGTAGCTTCCTTTTCTCCCTGCTTTTCTCCTTGTTCACCTTATAGTCTTTTCTCCACAGTTACACAAATAGACAGACCATTTAGGCCTGAGTGTTCTGTTAGAGGCCCACAGGCCCTACGCTCATCTCTCAGATACACAGAATGTTTTAGCACAAAGCTGTTACTGCAAAGGGACCTGAAGCAAAAATGAGTTTGTTCGTCTTGGTGCCCAATGTCTCTCCCTTGTGAGACACCCATCCCCTTGTTATGGATCTTGCTAGAATAGCCTCCTTCAGAGTTCTTTCTAAGTTGCTAAATTAGATCAAAGGGGGTAGCTCAGTGGTAAAGCACTACCCTCGTATGTACAAGGCCCTGACCTTAATCCTCAGCACTGCAAAAAGAAAAGCCAAAAATTCAATTAATCAGGCAGCTTTCTTTCTAATGAAGATCTCACCCTTTACCTTCAAGATAACTCTACTTTCACCAGTGTACCAGCTGTTTTTACTGGGGATGTGAACTGGGGATGTCTTTCAAAATTTCTTTACCCTTAAAATCCAGGTTCACATGTTACCAATCCTTTGTGAAATCTCTGAAATCTCCCACACTCAACTGAAGCAATTTTGTTTCTTCAGCTTCCATCCACAGTATTTTAGTTTCCCACTATAGCCAAGATATAATGGGGTACTTCTTAATTTTAAGATTTTTGAGAGTTGGGTGATTATTTTTTATCTTTATTGCCTTAGCCTTGTGATAATTCATATTACTGGTCAGTAACTGTACTTTAACCTCTGTGTACCTTAATATGTTACCATAACAAACCAACATCTGGTAGATTTTTTTTAATTCCAAAAGTCAAGAGTATAGTGTAGATTCAGCTGACCTTCCTTCCTTGATGCCCTCCATAACAGTATCTGTGGCCAAAATAACTGAAACCTCATCTTGTTTCCAGAGAATCCAGCCATGCCAGTCATTTAAAGCATTTAATAACCAAACTTACAGGACTGTGGGAAAGTATCGTATAGCTCCTGCCATCTTGCTGGCTTTCTTTTTTAACCCTTTACTTCTCTTCTTGCCTTTGAAACAAATTTCTCATTACACCTGTTTCAACATTCTCTGAAACCTTCATTTTAGCCAACATGTCTGGCCCACAAGAAATCACCTAATTGAGAGCCTTGCTCAGTATTTAGAAATGAGTAAAAGAAGAGTGAAGTCTTGGTTTGCAAATAAGAGAATCAAACTAAAGACTGGCTCTGAGAGGAAATTTTGGCAGGCCCTATAGTAGGCTCCTTTTTGCTGAGATATAGAGAGAGTTGTCTTCTACTTTAGCTCAATGAGACAGCTATGTTATGTTTGCTTATAAATGGAGAGCTTTAGATTCCTGTATTTGAATTATGACACATTAGAGTTTGAGGATGTCCAGGAGAGAAGGCTGAATCTCCAGCTTGTTTTCCTTCACACAGAACCTGCTTTCCAGGAAGCAAATTAGAGGGCAGAGTTTGCAATTTGGGTTTGATTTGTTCTGGGGAGTCTCTAGTCACAGAATAGGACCTACTTTTCTCCACCTTTGCGGATTTTATTGGAAATTTGACCTCAAGGAGCTGAGTTATACTTAATTCTAAGTCCCACTGCTTAAGTCTGAATTGGTGCTTCATATTTCCAGCTTGTTCAGTTTTGCATACAGCACCAGAGTTATTTCTTTCTCTTTTTGAACTATATTCATTAAGACTAGAGACCCCTCCCACATACCATAAAATTTGAACTCCCTCAAAAATGCTTCACTGTGGTGAAGTTCCTGTAATTCTTATTTAACTTGTTCCAAAAAACCCTTTTTTTCTCCAAATTGTTCAGAAGTCCCTTGTTTTTTGTTTTTTGTTTTTTTCCAGTACTGGGGATCGAACTCAGGACCTCGAGCTCGCAAGGCAAGTTGCAGCACCACTGAGCTACATCCCCGGCCTGAAGCCCCTGGTTTTTTACTAATTGCAAAAATCTTTAGTCTTGGTACACATGAAGAGAGCTTTTCTCCTTTTTATTGTTTCTCTGTTATATGTACCCCCTTTTTAAGTGTTAGATGGTCAGCCTTAGACAGATGCATGGACAGCTTTGGATGACATATGACGTCTCCTGCGGGAGTCTTTTACCTTTTTGTTCATTTCACTGACTTTGTCCTGCTAGTCTCCACCCCAAAGTGGCATGTTATAATCAACACAGAACTCCTCCCCTCTCCAATGCTGGTTGCTACTTCTCAGGAGTGGCCTGTGGTTTTTTAATAGACAGCGGATACCAGAGACTCCAGTGCTTACACGATAGCAGTCAACAAAACAAGTCTCTAAGAGGTCTACATGGAGTATTAGTTACCTTTTTGTTGCTGAGACAAAATACCTGATATCTGCAACCTAATGGAGGAAAGGTTCATTCTGGATCGCAGTGCCTGAGGTTTCAGTCTATGGATGGTTGGCTCCAAGGCACAGGCATCTTAGCGGAAGGGCCTGGCGAAGAGAGTTGCTCACATCATGGTATTCAGGAAGCAGATGGGGAAAGAACCAGAGAGGAAGGGGCCAGCACCAGTGGATATAGTCCTCCAGGTCCTGACCTACCCGACACACCCACAAGTGTGGTCTGCTAATCCCCGAGGCATCTCCTAGGCTCATAAAGATGATAATCAAGATTAACCGTGAGACCTTAGTAGATGGGACCTGAATGGAGCTTTGGCTCAGTCCCCAGAAGGCAGACTGACTCTTGTGGCTCCTTCCAATACAATTTTAATGGGAAGTCTGTCGATGCTACTGAATACCCCTTCCAAAGTCCGTACTCTCGGGTTGCTCCTTAACCACTCTAGTGAGGTGAGAAACAAGTCACTCAAAGGAAGTTCAATCTTAGAGTAGGTCCACACTAACCCTAATGGGCTGTGCAGGGTTAATCTTCTTTGCTGAGACTCTGTATCCAAGTTTGAGTTTTATGACGTAGTTGCTCTCTTCATCATTTCTAGAGGAGAGATTTAGTAGAGGTTGAATCCTGCACTTTAGCACAAAGGACCCCAGGTGAAAAATAAGTAATACTTGATTACATTTGGGTTCTGTAGACTGTGCAATCTATTGGCTTTTTTTGCACAGCATCTTATTAATCTAGCATGCAAATCAGCAAATCTTTGCCATTCTCCAAGTAGTTGTTCTATCAATTTTTCATGTATTAGTGGGGCCAGGGATTTAGCTCAGTGGTTCTGCCACCTGCCTCACAAGTACAAGGTCCTGAGTTCGATCCCCGGTACCAAAAAACAAACAAAAATTTCATGTATTAGTAATTTTACTTCAGATTTGACCAGTTCTTGGGTTGGGACACATTAAACACTGAACATCCTTCTGCTAACATTTAATTTGGTTTTCTGACTTACCTTGGCCTGTCTTCTCAAGAGAAAACAATTTCCCTTCCTTGTCTCATACAGAGGCTTTTCTAAAGCCTTGGGGCCAAGGGGTATCCATGCTCCTCAGAGACCAACTTCAAGTGAGCTTATGAAGATATGTTCCTAACAGTGGACCCCAGATCTCTTGTTGAAAGGAATTCTCATACGTTTTGTTAAGAGAAGAAAAATGTCCTCCTTAAATGCTATTTATTGGCCCTATATGAGATGGTGTTAAACACATTATGGACATTATTCTGCATAATCCTTGTAACAGTCTTTTGAAGGAAGCAGTATTATTCCATTTCTAAGGAGAAAAGTGAGACTCAGAGAGGCTATGAAATTTATTTACAATTTTTTTTTTTGTACTGGGGATCCAACTCACAACCTTGTGCTTGCAAGGTGGGTGCGGTGCCATTGAGCTAAATCCCCGGCCCTTAAATTTACTTAAAAGTGTATGGCTGGTGGATGGTGGATCTGAAGTTTGAGTCTAAGACTGGCATTGTTAGCTTAGGTTTTTCATTATTATCATCAAGCATCAACAATGTTCCTAGCACATAGTGCTTGATATGTAAGATCTTTACTCTTTTATACTTTGTGCAGTATCATGGTAGAATGTAAAAGAAATGGGTCTAAATAGGGCAAAGATCTCAGTATTCTCAAAAGCAAGGGTACATATACAATATGTAAATACATTTTATATTTATTAGAAATCTATGCTTGTGTGAATAGTTTAAGCAACGTCCAGTAATTTTAATCTAGTGTTGGCTATTGATTGGTTGCATGAGGCTGACAAATAATACAACCTAATAATCATTGTTTATTTGAGAAAGATACTGTTTTGGTTTCTGTCAACTACAGAGTAAACCGTAGGAGGTGTCCAGGTCCTTCAGAACTTACTCTATTTGGCTTATAAAGCACATGCTCTTGAAAAGTTGTTGCAAAAATACAGAGTATACAAAGTGTTAAAGAGTGGGGCAGCTGAGTCAATACTAGAATCCTGGGATGGTTAGTCTACTCTGAAAAGGTGAAATTTCAGTCCAGTTTTATTTTAATTTTTATTAGTACATGTTTGTAGTACATGATTGCATTCAACGTGGGGAGCTGGCACATGTACCTCACACATTTTTCTTTTTTGGTACCGGGGATCGAACTCAGGACCCTGAGGTTGCTAGGCAGGCGGCGGCACCACTGAGCTAAATCCCCGGCCCCGTACATCTTAATTCCTTAACCATCCTCTTCCCCATCCCTCCTTCCATCTCTTGGTCTCTTTCGCATTTGCAAACGTCCTACGCCCCGTTTCCTATTATTTATCTTTTACTTTGCTTTTTAAATTATTTATCCTTTGGGCTTCGCGTATAAGGAAACCATGCGGTATTTAAATTTGTGATTTGTTTCATTATGGTCTGAAGGTGCATTTGTAGGTGTTTGCTACGAATGACTCAAATTTATCCAGTCTTTTTGAAGAAGGATCTGAAGAGATGCAGAGAAGCTGGAAGTCAGTCCCAGGTAGGAGGATCCCTGGGAACTGCACTGAACCACCAGCCCCTGGCCTGGAGACCCCAGGAGAGAGGCGAGCTCCTCCATCAGCCCCGCTTAACTACACCAGGCGCGGGGGATGCCGGGACAGCGCGAGGCTGGCCGAGCTTCCGCTTCTGGAGCTCCAGGCTCCGCCTCCACGAAGCTGCTCCTTGCTGGGGGAAGGGGGCGGGCCCGCGCGGTTGCGCAGGCGCAGAGAGGGCAGCTGCAATGGCGCTGTCATGCAACCTAAACAGGTATTTGCTGCTCATGGCGCAGGAGCACCTGGAATTCCGCCTGCCGGTGAGCCCGCAGCGAGCTCCACAGGGTCTCCGGGAGAGGACTGCTGGTGGGGTGGCTGTGGGTCGAGAGATTTGGAATCTGTGCTGGTCCGGGCGGATCTTGTGACCCCCATCCTTGAGCTGTGGGTTTGGGGCTGAGCTTGCGGAGGGCTGAGAGAAAAGTCCCCGACGTATTCCTTCGGCCTTGCTGAGCGCGTTTATTCCTTTTCAAGTGCCCAGGGCACCGGGGTTAGGTGATTCCAGGAGCTCTCGGTCCAGCAGAGGATGGGGACCTCCAACAGGGGTGCTCCTGAAGTGCTCTAAGTGTCCAGGCGCGGCTCGGGAGGGAGGGTTTGATGGTGAGATCAGATGATGGAGAAGTCGGGAAGAGTTTGATCTATTCTAGAGAGTCTTGTGGAGTCTGTAATATGGGTGGAGGACACAGCCTCTGGCCTCAAGCCGCTAACTATTTTTACTGAGGGCTGAGCTGACCTAGGAGCTGAGTTCTAGAGTAAGTGCAGTGGTGAAGATGCACAGGGAGATACAGAGGGGACTCTGCGGGGGTGGGGATGTTGGCCTTCGAAAGGGTGACAGTTCAGCCACGGGGTTAACTGATCCAATATGAGAATCACAAGCTGTTCGTTGTTACTGGATCGCCAGGTATGTGGCAGAGCAGTAAGGAGAAAACAGAAGAGGTAGGTGGGGCAGAAAATGGAAAGTCCTGGATACCCTGAGCTTGGAATTCATTGAAGACGTTTAAGCAAAGAAGTGGCAGAATGTGTCTCCCCATCACTTTGACAGCACTATGGGGGGAAGGATTGGAGTCAGAGACTAGTTAGGAGTCTGTTGGTATAGTCTTGCCAATTGGCTAAGAAGGGTGACCTAGGGCAAGCAGTAAGAGGATGGGAGAAAGCACTTGAGTGAGAAGGTCATCAGGACTTGGTGGTGAAGGGAAGAGGAACCAGTCAAAGAGGACTCCTCGGGTGGATATAATAGTAGTGTCTCCATTTAAAATGGAGAACACAGGCAGATGTTAAGATTTCAGTTTTGATGATGCTGAAATTGAGGTGCTTGTGTAGCAAGACATGACCAGGAGGCGCTGGGTATGTGGGACTCATCGAGCATGGTTGAGATGCCGGGATTGGTGCTGAACACCTGGGAATTTTCTGAAAACCAGGAGAGATGACAGAATTACTGAAGCACATTGTCCAACAGTGCTGTGCTGTGTACGATGCTCGGAAGCACTGAAATGAAGGAAAATTAGAAAGGAGACCATTAAGAAAATAGGCAGGTGTCAGATAAGGGTGTGACCCCACAGAAACCAGGAGGGTGAAGTTTTAGGAAGCAGGATAAGTTGGTAATGTTGAATGCATTTGTTGTTTTGGTTCAGAAAGAAAGAAAAACTGTTCAGTGTGGAGATTCATCCAAAAACTAAAAGTAGAAATTCCATTTGAGCCAGCTATCACTCTTCTGGGTATCTTCCTGAATGAGTTAAACTCATCATATTACAATGATACATGCATACTCGTGTTTATATAGTAGTAGCACAACCCACAGTAGCTAAGTTATGGAAGCAGCTGATATGTCCATCAACAGATGAATGGATAAAGAAAATATGGAGTACTACAAGTCCATAAAGTACTTCAGCCATAAAGAAGGGTAAATTTGAGTCATTTGTAGGAAAATGGATCTTGAGACCATAATACTAAGTGAAATAAATCAGACACAGAAGGTTAAATATCTCATGGTTTCTCTAATATGAGAATACACAAATATAAATATTTAAAGAGCAAAATGAAAGAGAGATGATGGGAAATAGGGAGGTAGACTCTGTGAAGATGTGAAGGGGATCTAGGGAAGGAAGAAGAGGTAAGAGTGTGTGTGTGGGTTGTGCCAGTTCCCCAAGTTGAGTAATTATTAGGTATTGCAAACATATAAAAAAAGAAGAGATCAAAGAAAAACAGTAAGAGATCAAAGACCAAAAAAAGCCATAAGAAACAAAAAATGGTCATTGACATTCTAATTAGTAATTGGTTGGCGATTTTTGCTAGAGCTGTTGTGAAGAGTTGTAGTGGGAGAAGCCAACTCCCGCTACTGATTTAGTAGTTTTTGGAAAATGAGTGAAGGGAAATAGTGTAGATTGCTCTTAATTTGAGCATAAGGAGGGGAGGCAGGAGAGTTGGTGAACAGTTTGAGGGGAACCTAGGTTCAAGACAAGACTCCCCTAGGGAGGATTAAGCTTGAGTGTGTTCACAGGCTGGAGGGAGATGGAAGTGAGAGCACAGTGGGAGGTTTTCAGCTTCTACGAATTACCATGAATAAACGAGCCTTGAGGCCCGTTTTCTAGGTAAAGAGTGAGTTAAAGGTAACTTTTAAGAGAGAGAGCAGTTTAATGGAGAAACTGAACTAAAGTAAAATTTTAAATAGTCATTGAGAGTGCTGGCATGGGCAGTACAAACAGTTGGGTATAAAAGAACACAGGTGTTAGAGCAAGTCTGAAAATCAGCTGAAGGTGGAGATCCTGTCTTATAAATGGGCTAAGACTTTGTGATTTTCTTAATTAGCACTCAACTCATTGGCCTTAGGAGTTGTAAAGGAATACTATGATTTAATATTAGTCTTTTGAGTTTCATTGAGGAAGAAATGTTTTAATTAGGTCATAATTGATAAAAAAGATGTTGTGTCAGTGAAGAGGACTGGAAGAACCACTTCTCTGAGAAACAGAGCAAATGTAGAGATGCAGAGGAGCGGTTGGTTATGATTTTGAAGTCTGGGGGAGGGAGGATGATTGCAGTGGAGGGTAGGATTCACATCTTGGAGTGTTTGGAAGCTATTCTGGGAGGATTTACCTTTTATGTTAGTGGGGCCATTGACTTTTCTAAAAGAGGAAGGGACAGGATAGTGTTTTAGAAAGATAACTCTGTACTAACAAACAAAGACAGTAGTTAGAGGACTCCAGAATGGAACTAGAGAGAGGCTAAGGAGAGTGAATGCTTTGGGAATGAGCATGGGGTGGTTAGGCTTCGATCTCAAGAATAGCATCTCTGCTAATTACTGATTTTATGTTTCTTCCCTCTTGAATTCTTTTTTGTCAGTGTCTTACCTTGGTACCAGTTTAATCTTCCTTAAACTCAGTTCTGCTTCACACCCTCATTGTTGCAAAGCTGCAGCTCCAAAGCCTGCCATACAGTGCCCATCCCTGCATGGTCTTCTCCTTTGGTGTCTCATACCCATCTCTCCCCATCCATCCATCAGTGCCACCAAAACGGACTCCACAGCCCCCGTCAGTCCCAAGTGATGCCCTCTTTCCACTTTCTTACTTTCCTCTTTGCTCCCTGTACTCTCTTTAGTGAGATTTATTTAATCATCATTCATTTAGATCTGACCACACATTTCTTTTAGCTTTATATTTCATTATTTTAAATGATGTACAATTCCTTTTGGTAGCTTTTCGTCATCTGCTGGGGATGGTTTTTCTCTCCCCTTCACCATAGGGAGCATAGTTATGTTAAAGTAAGTATGTAACTGATAAAGGGGTCCGGTGAATCTCTGTTGTTTCTGTTTTTCATGTGCTGCTGGGTTATTTTTTAAGCACCTGCCAGGTGGTGCATTTGAAAATTTATTGAGGCCTAGGGCAACGCTCTTGATCTTGAAGGAGAATGGAGCACAGCAGCATTGGCAGTGTAGGATCACTCTAACTCACGTGCAGGTATTAAACTGTTTCTGTTCAGATTCACACGTGCTCCTAGCAGTGGTGGCGAACCCAGAGCACGAGTGCCACAGGTGGTGTAGGCAGTTTGTTATCATGGAAAGCTCTGAAAGGTTCACGTTTGCTTGGGGGTGCGGGATCCCCATACCATGGGTTGTTTGTCAAGTTTCCTTTCTTCCCTCTGGGCGGCTCCGGGTAACCACTGTGGACTTTTAACCAGGCGCACTGTTCCGACCCCTGACCCACTGCTTGGACTTACCATGTATCTTTATTTGGGGATGCTTCTGTATATCTTGTTTCTAGAGCCCCCTTGTCTTTTGGTACAGAACACCTTGTATATACAGTTACTGCAGTTTTGCTGATTGTACTGGACTGGACTTTTGGGTTCTGTCATACATTCCAGTACTGCACGTAAGAGTTACGCAATTACAAGCGAAGCCATCAAGTTGGAGTTTCCTGTGACCGTTTCTTTCTTCCGAATCTTGTAATGTACATGCTATGTGCAGTTCCTCACTTTGCGACCAAGTCATTTACCACGCTGGTTGCAGGAGGGTGTCTCGGTCACTAAGCGCGGAGCGTCTGTCCCCTCCCCACCTTCTGGCTCCATGACCGTGTCCGTGGGCTGTTCGGCCTCGAACTGCTTTTGAAAATGGCTGAGTACCTCGGGAAAAGTGGCTCCACTTGGAATTTCCGTCCTTTCCTCAGTCCTGTTGGGTAATTCTTCCTTTCTTTCTTTTCTCTTACCGGGGATCGAACTGGACCTTGCGCTCGCAAGGCAGGCGGTGGAGCCACTGAGCTAAATCCCCAGCCCTGTTGGGTAATTCTTGTAGCCCACCTGTGCCTTCAGCTGACGTCCAGCTTTCCTCTTTCTTCCCAGCAGGGGGCTTCATCTGAATCTCCCAGTTTGCTGTCCCGGAAGCGGATGTCCGCTGCCGTTGATTTAGATGCTTCCTGTTTTCCAGGAATAAGTCAACTTCCCTGACTCTTCCCTTCAGAAATGAAGTTATCACTTTCTCCCTTGGACTCTTAACACTTTCTTGCTTTTACTTCTTTAAGAGCACGTCACATTTCAGTTGTAGGATTAAATGTTTTGTTAATTCCTCTAGACCTTTAGCTCTGGAGAATAAAAATATGTTTAGCTTTCCATAGCTCAGGGCCTTTCACATAGTAGTTACTCTATAAAGGTTGAGTTGAGTGAAACAGGATCCCTTCCCGGAAGACAAATGACATTCTCCACTTTTGGGCTTACTTACCTCCTAGCAGGAAAGCTGTAGGGCAAGTAGCTGCCTTGATGGATAACAGTGAGAGATTAGGATGTAAGTGTGGCTCAGTTTTCCCTCTGATAGAGTTAATCAGACTGACTTCGGGTGTCACTTAACTTATGATACTAAGGGTACAGGGCAGACACCGGGGATTCATGGCTAGTTCTAAAGCAAACAGTTCTGAAAAAGTGAGTAGCAAAAATAATCGCTTGTATGAATTAATGAATCACACCCCATCATGCCACTTTTTTTTTTTTTTTGTACCAGGGATCAAACTCGGGTCCTTGCGCTTAGTGAGGCAGGCAGTGGAACCACTGAGCTAAATCCTCGGCTCCTTATGCCACATTTTTATACCAAACGTTCAGTGTATAATTCCTTTTTGTTCCTAGTACAGAAAGAGTCTCAATTGCAAAGCAAATTTGCCATGAGTGAAAATCTTGGGTTTTGCTTTTTTCAAGTAGCTTGATAGAATATTTTAAACATGTTTTGATTACAGATTTGAAACTTGGCTTATCACAGTCACCCACAGTTTTACCTGATTGCTTAGGTTTTGGGTATTGGAGCTAACGGACACCATCAGTAATTCTTCATCCCCCCACTCTTAAAACATGTATGTTTTAGCTTGTTGCTGGTTTTTAATGGTGTATTCCAGAAGCTGCAGGTTTTGATGTTAACGTCAAATGATATTTTAACTTTGGATGTTCTAAATGCAAAGCTGATTTCACAGCATGCTTTAGTATAGCAACAAAAGAGTCATTAAGAGATAACTTAGCAAGACTAAGTTACCTGTCTGTAGCTTCATGTTTTTCTGTTGAGTTTTACAATTCTGTCTTGCTTGACTTCTTGAAACACAGAACTTCAAGGACTGTTGGGATTGTCATCACTTTGATTTCCTTAATAACAACCTAAATTTCTGTGCTTCTCACGGAGTAGCTGTGACTGCTGTTTTTCACTTAAGGGAACTGAGAGTCCTAGGAGTTAAGTTTCATGTATAAAATCACACAGTAGTATATGGAAGATCTGCAAATGAAAATCAGATTTTACTGGGTTTGATTTGTAATTCTTACAATGACTCCTGTTCAAATTTATGTTACTTATGTCACAAAATAACATTTGGGCTACCCTCCCTGATTTGCTGGTAGTCTGTGCTCGTTGGGGTCTGTCCAGCCCTTCAATACAAGACATGATTTGGTGCACAGATAAAGGAAAAATAGAAATGGCGTTGGTTTCTCAAACCTCTCATACCTTTTGATCTTGGAGTTGGGAACTTGGTGTTGGTTTTCTGCTTGCTTTATATGGAAGGAGACAATTTGTTAGTGGTGCAAATCATAAAATTTATATGGTCATCTTGTGTTTATGAATACAAAATGGTTACTTCAAAGAATATACACATCTGATTTCAACTTTGCATGCGTGATATGTTTAAATACGTATTGTGTTCTTAGTGGTACAGTTACTAAGGTTAGCTTAATGTTCTTGTGCTTAATGAATCTACAATGATGCTCCCTAATTAATTTCTTTTTAAATATCTTCAAATCATCTTTTTAGTTATTCATTTCATTTTTTAAATCAGTTTTTAGGTTTGCTAATCTGGAGTGTCTATAATTGGCTTTCTTCTTTTCAAAAGCAGGCCATCACCTTTTTGATCATGTCTTCCAGTAGCTCTCCTGTTATCTAAAATTTACCAGGAATTACTTATCTTTGGTTGTGACTATAGAAGTTGTTCAGAACCCTGAGTTGTAGTCGTTTGTTTTGAGACTTACATGCCTCAAGTAGACCTCAGCCCACTCAATTTTCTTTTTTAATCATATTAGACTTGTTTTTCTTAGTAAAACTGAGTTCCCTGTTTAACATGTATTCTCTCTGTAATATTTTCAAAACAGGAAATAAAGTCTTTGCTTTTGCTTTTTGGAGGTCAGTTCACCAGCAATCAGGAAAGTTATGGAAAGGTAAGATGAATTTTTACCTTACCATCTGTAGAATGCCTATAGATAAAACATTGGATTTGAAGAGAACTGAAATGCTTAAGTATCTATTTGTGTGATTACTTGTTTCTGTTTTCAGAGGCAATTAAATGAAAAGGATACTTTAAAAAAAACTGTGGCTTTGGAAAGTAACTTAAATTTACTTCCAGTTTTCTTTTATTCATTTTTTTGCAGCAGTGAGAATTGAACCCAGAGCATTACACACACTAGGCAAGTGCTCTGCCCCTGAGCTTCAGCCCCAGCTCCAGTTTTAGAATTTAACTCAACAGTCACACCATAATATGTATCTGTTCTTTCACTGAAAGAAACTTCCTTTGGTGAGGTGTGTTTCCAATTGGAACTTGGCAGAATTTCCAGCTCCTACTGGGATGTACTCTGAGATTTTCAGCATTGTTACTCACAGTGCCCCTCACCCACTCCTCAAGTGGCCACCACTACCTAGAAAATGAGAGAGCATTTAGTATCTTTTTTTTTTTTTTTTTGGTACTGAGGATCGAACTCAGGTCCTTGCGCTTGCAAGGCAGGCGACAGAACCACTGAGCTAAATCCCCGGTCTGAGCATTTAGTAACATAAGAGATACTACTTAGAAGTTAAACATAAAATAGCTAATGCATTATAAAGAATGCTTGGCAAAGATAAAAATTCCAAGATTATATTCTAGCCACTCAGAGCTAAATGGGTTTTGCTATTTCTTTCAGTCTCCCTTTTGGATTCTTAGCATTCCCTCTGAAGACATTGCAAGAAACTTAATGAAACGGACAGTGTGTGCCAAGTAAGAGAAACTTTCTCCCTGTCTCTCTTTTCGTATTTGTATTGGTAAAAGGGAGAGGGATGTGGAGGGCGCCGGTTATAGCTTGCAGTTATGAGCATCTACCATTGGATGGTGCTGGGCGACCGGAAGAGTTTACTTGCTGACAAGGCAGGGTCAAACAGTGTGGAAATGTCTAGAGAAATTCTTGGTTAGCACAATTTTTCAGAAGCTCCATAGTAACCAGAAGTATAGCATGGGATATCAGTGCTATATTTGTGTATAGCATGGAGCTCACATTTAATTGTAACTGAAAAACCCCAAAATGTTGTTCTTACACCTAATTTTTAGTTGGATGGGCAGTGTGGTAGAGTGTAAGATGACAAAATGTGCGCATTGTTATGAAATGTGTTTTGCTATTCTAATAATCTATCATGGTATAAATTATTGAAGTTGTTCATTGTTTAACCTAGATTTAATCATTGACGTTTTTCCTTTTCTTTCATTTTTTTCTTAAAAAAATTTTTTAAAATTCATGCATTTTTCTTTATCTCAGTTGGTTTTTTATCTGAACATTTTGATAGATGGTTGAAACCTTTCATTTCCTTGGAATTACATTTTCTTGAGAACTACATATATTTTTGTTTGCAATGCAAATAAGAATTTATGTACGTAGTTTTGTGAGAAGGCAAATAAGAGTATATCTAAGTTTATTAACATAGTTAACAGTGCTTTATAGTGTGATATGCAATTGCTGTATTTTCGAATTGGCTAATACCCTCATACTTAGTTAAGTTCGATAGCCCTAAATCTACCTACAGCCGTAAGTCTATAATCTTTAGAGCTGAGACTTGTTAATGCGTATTGTTTATTAAATAAAAATGACTACAAACCAGAACATAACTAAAATATATCTTTTGAATAATTACATTGTAGCTTATATTAAAACTTACAGCTCAAAGAGGTGTTTGAATTAGAAAGACAAAGTTTGTTAGGCTTAAAGTAGCTACTGGAGTACTAAAAATATATATATATTTTAAAACTCATATCTTCTGATGCATATATTTAATGAATGGTAAAATCAGTAATTGTACATTGTAATAATATTATACAATAAATTTTTAGTTGTTTTTAGTCTTTATATAATTTGCTTTGCTGATGTATACCTTAAGTGTATACGTAAGCTCAGTAAGGGTAATATTGTAGAGGTCTTTACTGTATAAATCAATAGAAAAGGAAGAATTCATTTTTTTTAAGGATAGTATTTGTAACCTCATCAAAACAGAATTAAAATAAACCCATAACCTACAGCGTAAATGCTACAGTGGGCTGTTTGTATCCTTGAAAGCTCTAAAAGGTTCGCCATCACTGGCCTAGACTGAAAACTAACTTAAATTCAGATTTTTTTTGTGGTAGACTAGGGATGAAATTTAGTTTATTTTTAGCATGGAATATTTTGAGCAAAACACAAAAAGTGAAAAATGTAGCAAACCCCTAGGTGCATGCCTTTTAGAATGCAACATTTGGGGTAACTTAGTTAATAAAGGTTACCGAATAGTAGCTAAATTTCAACAGTAACATCTGAATTTAGTGTATTTGTTTTATGGAGAAGACATTGGGAAAAATTGGGTTTTCTGCAAACTTTTCCACATTTAACTAAAACATGTTGTGATTTGCTGCATCAGCTGACCTGGTCTAGAGAAACAGCGAAGGGAGGAGGCAGTGGAGCCTGTGGTAGAGCTTTACTTAGTGTGCTCAAGGCCCTAGGCTCAGTTCCCCTCTGCAGTGTGAAGTTTACCCTTTTTGTGTGTTGGAACCTAAGTTATATATGTTTCCAGAATACAACTTCTCCTTTATAGCTTAGGGAAAAAAAAGCATTAATTGTTTTAGTGGCGCAAGCATGAAAAGTTAGTGAAATAACTGTTATGTATTACTGTGTGAACCAAGTTCTTTACTGAGGTTATTACTGGTCATTTATCTCCTAGGTCCATATTTGAACTATGGGGCCATGGAAAATCTACCGAGGAGCTGTACAGTTCTCTTAAAAATTACCCCGTGGAGAAGATGGTGCGTAGTGACGTGGAATTTCCTCTAGGCATATGTGCAAGTTCTGCAGAATTACTAAGCTTAAAAAACTTATCTGTTATTCTTTTTTAGGTTCCATTTGTGCACCCAGACTCTACGTATAAAATAAAAATCCACACATTTAATAAAACATTGACACAAGAAGAAAAAGTGAAACGAATAGATGTAAGTGAGCTTAGCCAGCCCGAGTCCTGTTAGGGTTGCTGTGGTCTCACTGTGTTGCTGGTGGGCCTGCCACCTGGGGCTGTTAGTGCTCGTTTTTCACCTCATGTGCGATGCACTTTTTGTGGTTTACCTTAACGCTGACACCAGATTTACATGGTAGGTGTTATGTTACATAAGAACGGTCGTACTTTTCTTTGTAAAATTTTAGACCACATTAGAATTCCTTTTATTTTTTAGGCACTCGAATTTCTGCCATTTGAAGGAAAAGTGAACTTAAAGAAGCCCCAACATACATTCTCTATTTTGGAGGACTACGGTTTGGACCCAAACTGCATCCCCGAGAAGCCACATAATATTTATTTTGGTAGATGGGTGAGCAAGGATTCTGTCTCATTTTGTTTTTTTAAACACTAAGTGTGGGTTGGAGGTACAGCCCAGTGGTAGAGCGCTTGCCTGTCACGTGTGAGGCTCTGGGTTTGATCTCTGGAAGGAACTGAGCGCTTGTCTTTGTGTTTGACTCTTTACATGAAGGATTTTAAAGCAGCTGAAGAGTCAGTACTGGTGTATGGGTTAAAATTGGCGAAGAGTTGGGGCCAGGGATTTAGCCCAGTGGTTCTGCCTCCTGCCTCACAAGCGCAATGACCCGAGTTCGATCCCCAGTCCCCCCCCCAAAAAAAAAAAATTGAAGAGTATGTAATTGTGGTTTGTTTTGTATTTTTCTGGAGAAAGAGATGTCCCTGGTGAAATTACAACAAGATTTGCCAGAATATCTGGAGTACTTTTTTCTTTTTTAACTGTTTGTGGTACGGGGTGTTGAATTAGGGCTTTGCACTGAGCTACATCCCTAGCCTTTTTAAAATTTTGAGACAGTGTCTTGCTAAGTAGCCCAGGCTGGTCTTGAACTTTTGATTATTCTGCCTCAGCCTCCCAGAGTGCTAGGATTACAGGTGTGCACCGCCATGCCTGGCTGTGGACTGCTTTTTAAAAATAAAACAGAGGGTTAGGTAGACTGCTGTGGTAGTTGAGAGATCTCATTAGTGGAGGTGTCAAATCTAAGTCTCCATCGTGCGAAGGAATGGAGCTGCTGTCCAGCTGTCCTGTCCACCTCCTTAAGCTGTCAGCGTGAGCGGCCACTGAGAATCATTATTACTATTTAGATTATTGTTATTTAGAGAAAAGAAATGGGGAAGGCTTACTTACCACTGTCCCTGGGATAATTGTAATGCAGCTTAATTAATATTTGGTTTGAAAAGAAAAAAATAGATGGAAAGGGATTAAAAAGCAGTATATTTGTGCATAACTACCTCAATCTCATTATTTTAAAAGAATAAGTTTGGAGCAATAGTAAGTAGAAAAAAATTCTCTTCAGCATGATGCTATGGTTTTATTGTGGGTTATTACCTCAAATCTGTTCTGTATGTTCATATAAATTTGACAAATATCTCTGCTCTAGATCGCTGATGGACAGAGAGAGCTAATTCAGTCATACAGCGTCAAGAAGAGACACTTCATTGGAAATACAAGCATGGATGCTGGCTTGTCTTTCATAATGGCCAACCATGGACAAGTGAAGGAGAACGATGTGGTCTTCGACCCATTTGTTGGAACAGGTATTTTTATTTAACTGTTACGCTGGCGTAGAGATACTGCTTCAGTGTGGTAGCGAATGTCACAGCAGTATTTTTGGTGAGAGATTAAGTAGACAAATGATCTTTTAATTTTTATTAGTAGCTAAGAGACAAACTCATACTGTGTTATAGATTTAATGCTTGTGCCATTTCATAGATGATTCTGATAGAATTTTGTGGGTTGTATTCCAAATAAGTCATTACCAGGGAGTATCTCTGTCTAAACTGTCTGTCTGTCTATCTATCTATCTATCTATCTATCTATCTATCTATCTACATATTTTTAGTAGCAGAGTAACCCTGTAGTAACATACACTGTAGAAATGCTCTAAAGCCCTATGGTTTATTTAAATCTGAAAACTTGGGAAAAGAAGGACTTGAATGTCAGGATTTAAAAAGAAAGTCTTAATGTTTTTAAATAATTTTATATTTGAATGGAGAAAAATAGTTAATGTATCATCTTATCTTTGATTTGGTTTGTGAGAATTTATCTGCAGTTTTTTTTTTTCTTTTGGTCCCAAGGATCGAGCTCGGGTCCTTGTGCTTGCGCAGCAGGTGGTGAAACCACTGAGCTAAATCCCCGGCCCTGGTTTGTGATAATTTATAAATAAGTGTGAATATGTTAAATGACTAAATATTAGTGGCTTCGAGGGTCATGTGTTTGTGACTTGGGCTGTCTGCACTTGGTTGGGATGTTCCCCTAATGAGCCTAGTGTGAAATTCCTGATGCTTTCAGTTTAGTGCTGGCTCTGAGAAGAAATTTTACTTCTTTTTTGGCACCATTACTTCTGTGAACAGGGTTTTATGTCCTTGGTATTTTTAAGAAGTCTTTCTTTTGGTGATTGCTAACTGCAAACTTCTCTTGTAGATCTGTCCTCACAATGGTTGATTCTGGTGCATATACTTTCAATAGGATTTTTAATCTCCTGGCTATCTGTTTGAGTCTGTTTCGTTAAACCCATTTCTTTCCTATGTTGGGCATTTATAGTTTCCGTCATTTTCCTAAGCTCCTCTCTTTTTTATCTGTATCTACTCCAGATATGCTAACTATGTCCTTCATTATGGTCATCATCTTTTTAGCTTTCTGAGAAATTATTTCTGATTTGTTTTTTTCTAGAGCCTTATTCATCTGCTTTATTACTCTTGCTGCCACCGTTTCAGAAAGTTCAGGTGGGTGGCTTTTGATTTCTTCCACTTCACTGCCCTTGGAATTGGCTTGGGCAAGCTGGAGGTCTGGGGTTGCATCTTGCTTCCATTTCTTCTCATTTTCTGTTTTTTAAAAATTGTTTTCTGTGTTGATGCTTGTAAATTGCAAAGAAAAAGCAAAGAGAGGGAAAAAAAATCTACTTCAGGGTGTGTCTCTGCTGTCACTGGTGACAAAAGGGGGCAGACAGAGCCCAGATCCGTGTTGGATGATCCCAGCAAGCCTGCAGTGGAATTAGGCAGGGTAGTGAATAATCCAGCAAGCTTGTGCTTTCAATGCCACTGAAATTCGGGCTGATCCTGGTTTCTGCCTATGGGGCTGGGACCCAAAGTGTTCAGTCCACGACACTCCTGGTGCCTTTTGCCAGCTTACACTTGGTTCCCTGACCCTGCACTTCTCCCAAGGCTGCTCCTCACTCAGACCCTGGGAGCCCTGAGATGGAGCCAACCCGAGGCCGCTGAGTCCTAGGTTCAGCTGGACCTTTCCCCAAATGGTGTCTGGTCAGTCGCCCTCCCCTGGGGACGTTGGGCCGGAGTCACTCACCAGCGGCTGCAGCTCACAGCATCCACCACTCTGTTCCATTGGTGCATTTCACTGTGGAGGCCTCTGGAGTCAGCCGCACTCAGCATGCCTCTGCAGGTTCGAACCACCTCTCACCACATGAGCCAGAAGCCAGGGAGAAAGCTCTGTTTTCATCTCCCTCTTCAGCACTGAGGAGCCTTTCCGCTGTCCTGGTGGGCTCCAGTTTGCCCTTCAGGTCCATCCTGGGTCTGGGGATCCACCTCCCTTCTCCCTTCCCCCGTTGCCGAACTCTAATCTCCAAGAAGCTCATTTGCTGCTGCTCGACACTCTGCCACCGTCCTGGAAATCGTCTTCTGCTGGACCTCACACTCCTGCTGCTCAGGTCTGAAGGACGCTGTGGACGGGCTTTCGGGAAGGTGTGGCCTGGGGGTGGCGAGGCGGGCAGGTGCTCACATCCCAGGCTGCCCAGAGGCCCTGGACGAGGCTTCTCCCTGCTGAGGAGAGACGCGCGCCATCGCTCAGTGGCGACCCCTCTAGGCAGCTCTGCTTCATTGTTTCTTCTGTTTATGTCTGTATATTAAATATTTTTTTCCTCATCTTTTGAAATTTGCATCTATCACATTCTTACCCACCTCAAATACTTTAATGTCTATTTCTGAGAATAAGGATATATTCTGTTACATAGCACAGTACAGTTTTTAAAATGATTTAGTAGAGGGCCGGAGATTGAGCTTGGTGGCACAGCACCTGCCTCGCAAGCGCTAAGGTCCTGTGTTTGATCCCCGGTACCAAAAAAAGAAAAACAAAACAAAACCAAAATTATTTAATAGTACCGATATAGTATTTTTTTTTTTTTTTGGAAATGGGGATCAAACTCAGGACCTTGTGCTTGCCAGGCAGACGCTGTGCCACTGAGCTAAATCCCTGCCCTCCCCCCCTTTCTTGTGCTACCTGCCCCAAGTAGTCTAAGATAAAAGGGGCAGGGAAAACTGTTGAGGTTCTCTCGTTACCTTCTCTACCTTGTGCACGCCGTGTTGTACCTGCTCTGCCATGCCTGTTTGTCATCCCTGCCTTCAAGTTGGCCGATTATGGACTGAATCCTCCACGAACTCTAAGCCAAATGAACCCTTTCCCTTCTCACTTTGGTGTCGGGTATTTTGTCCCAGCAAGGAGAGAAAAGTAGCTAACACATGAGGTGTGTTCCAAGGATTCTCAACTCTTTCACATCCCTTCCTCTGGCTTACCTTCCTTCACTGGTAACCAGCTTCATTGTCTTGTAGTTGAATCTTCCTCTGTTTCTTTTCCTGTGATAAACTGATATGTGTATTTCCTTATTCTCACTTCTTGTTTTGCAGAAAAGGTTGCATACGTATAAATTGTTTCTAACTTTGCTTTTGTTACTTCATGTATTTTGTGCAAATCACACCCAGTCAGTTCCAGAAATTGTTTTCATTCTTTTGTTTTTAGAGCGATATTCTATAAACTATTCAAATAATTCTTCACATAGCCTTCTATACTTGGAGACTGGCAGTTTGTTATATTTTGTAGTTAAAATAATGGTTGCAATGAATAATCTTCTGAATACGTGCCTTTGTAATGTTGCGGGCATAGCTGTCGGGTGAATTCCTACAAGTAGGATTGCTGGGTTGAAAAGCTTATGCATACAAGGTGTGATGGAAAAATGCAATAAATGTTTAAATAAAAAAACTTATTATCGTAAAAGACATTGCTAGGAATGATGGGATAAGTGTGTTCAAAGAGAGAAGGAGGATTTTGAGGGGCATTAATGGCAATGTGTCTTTTACTGTGATAACGTTTTAAAATATGCAGTATATTTTATTATTGTGCCTCACTGATCAAATGCAGTTTCTGTCAAGTAAACACTGCAGTGTGTTTTCATCCACCTTGTTCACTGGAGCTGGCACTGTGCAACTTCTGACTCTTCCTCAAAGCCAAAATGGCTCTGAAGTGTAAACAAGGCACAAGAGCAGAAATAAAGACATGAAAGAAGACTTCCAGAACTGCTTCAGAAAGTGGAAACAACAATGTTCAAAGCAAAGGGAGGACTTTGAGGTAGATTAACAGCAATATACTGCTAAATTCCTGCCAGCAATTTAAGAGTGTGGGTTCTCCCATAGTCTTACTGGTAGAGTATATTTGTCAGGGTTTTGAAGGTTTGCCAGTTTGTTGGGTGAAAATGCTATTTCAGTATAAGGTCGATTTGTATTCCTTTTATTATGAGTGACGTCTAAAACTTACTGTATTTTAAGTACTTTCTGTATAATTTTTTTGAATTGGCTTTCATGTCTGCCAATTTTTCTACAGACTTTTTAATCTTTCTCCCTCTTTTTTATTGTTTGTTTTTTGTTTTTGGTACCGGGGATGGAACTTGGGACCTTGAGCTTGCGAGGAAGGCGCCAGAACCACTGAGCTAAGTCCCCGGCCCTCTCCCTCTTTGGTAAAGGTGCTTTGTTAGAGACATTAGCATCCCTTTCTATGATATATGTAGCAAATATGTTCTTTCAGTGTGTCATGTATTTTTTTGACTTTGCTAGTAATCATTTTTTTGCCAGGCAGAATATTCCATACATCCAAGTTCGAGAGGAATGCATTTGTATTTTCTTTCTTCCTTTTTTTTTTTCCCTGGTACTAGGGATCCAACTCAGGACCTTACACTTGCAAGGCAGGCACGGTGCCACTGAGCTAAATCCTTGGCCCTACATTTTTATTTTCTTCTACTACTTTTGTAGGTTTTTTTTTTTTTTTTCTTTTTGAGCTCTAGTCCATTTGGCATTTATTACCTTGTGTAATATGTGGAATGGATCTAATTTATCTGTTTTCCAAATGCTAAAACCTTTCTTAATTCTTTTTTATGTTTTTGAGGCAGGTCTTACAATATTGCCCAGGCTGGCCTGGAACTCACAGCGATCTTCCTACCTCAGCCTCCCTAGTGCTGAGATTACATCGTGGGGCACCATGCCCGGCTGTTAATTCTTAATCTTGTTTTTGAACTTTAAAAACTTTGTGAAGTGAGAATTCATTAACATACATATATGTACAAAATTTTTAGTATGTACATACACAGAACATAGAGTTTATCCATAAACCAGGCCGTAGAATTTAAAAAGAGTTGTATGTTAGGTAAAATTTCTTGCCCATCATGTAGATGAGGCTGAGTATGTTACAAAATGCTAACTTCACAGCAGTCAAGGTGTGCACTGCCGTTAGTGTGGTGGAGGACAGGGACCTGCCTGTG